TACAGAAGAAAAGAAAGGTAAGAAGTCCTGAAGCAAACCGTAGATGAAAAGAGAGAAACAGGTTAAGTTATAAGAGCTAGCGGGACAAATGTAAGATATGGCTGAGCATGCACAACTAATAAGTTTCCATGTCATGATTTGGGAGCTGGGTGGTGGTCCAAAAAAAGAAAGCCTGATACAGCTCACTGAGCCAAACATTGAATACATTCTCTCCCATGTGGGTCACAATGATGTCACTGGACGGACAAACACACACACTGTGATGCATGAATGAGGTGCACAGCAGTTGACACATTAGTGCCTGCTCAACAGGGCGAGTGTCCTGGGGGACTGGAGGCCACTTTTCAGGGTGACAAGCAAATCTTCAAGTGGCTTGGGCGGTCCCTGCAGGAGAACTGCTCTCAAGTACCGACACGCCTCAGCTTCCACGGTTTTCCCGCTGCAGCCGCTCTGGGAGATGGAGTTATGCACACCTGCCCTTGTGGAGCTCACCCTTGCCATCCGCTCGCACACACCGGGACTGCCGTGGAAGGACTCACACACCAGGTGGAGTGCACGAGCCTGGGGCTACCAGGCTGCCTCTGGGTCTGGTTTTGAGGCATCACTGGCAGGCCACACAGTGCTATTATTACTCATCCAGTTTTCTGACCAACGTCTTCATGAAAGTCTTTATTATTTATCTCTGACAGAGTCTTGCTACTGTGTAGCTCAGGCTGGGCTCAGACTCCAGACTCTCTTCCTCTGCCTTTCCAGTGCAGGGATTATAGGCAGCGGATGCATTTGACACAATATGCATAAGGAAAGACCTGTAGATCCCACTCTCCTAAGAGGGGGAAATCTCAGAAAGCACTTGGCTGTATTTAATTACAAATCTATCCATAGGAGAAGAATTGCCAAATCAACATTCAGGCGAAATAGCTGGACTGCTTATCACTTTGAAGGGACCTCAGAGTATAGCTCATAGTCCAGTGAGAGCTAGAACTTTTTAGAAGCAACTACATTTGGGACTGCTGCTTGCCCAGGGCCATCACAACTACTAAGAAAACCATAACACAGGAAGATGGAAACCTAAAGAGTGCATCCACCTCAGGTACACACGGGATAAGAAAGAAAAGGACATCACACAAACATGCTGAGCAGCAGCTGGAGATCTCTGCCTTTTGCCTCAAGCTGAAGCTCTTGTGTTGACCAAAGGCAGCACCTGCTCACCCAAGAGCCTCTGAGTCTCTCTGCAGCGGAGCGTCCTCAGCCCAAAGCCACCAGCTACCACTGTGCTTTCCAATATCCATCTTGAAGACTCCCTTCATTTTGCTCTGAGGGTGCCAGTACTAACCTACCCATGATTCCTTAGGATTGCATGGGATAGAACAACGGAAGTCTGGGTATTTTTTCCACTAACTTTAGAGAGAATGAGTGGAACCCAGGCAGACAACCCCACAGGGACCATCTGGTTAAGAACTCTAGTTCTCTGCCCTAGGAAGTGGCCAGGCTGCCACACAAAAATGCACATGAACCTGACTCCTCCATAGGAGAGCCACATGGACACAGCAAAAAGCCTCAGAGGTGACTCTTCTTAAAAATGGCCAATGTGCACCATGCACAAGCCAGGCAGGGTGACTGGCTTGTCAAGCACTGCCATTCCAGCCTTGCTCTGGCCCTGGGGACTTATTTAGCACTCCTTACCTTTGCCCTCCTTAATAAAGGCTAGGCTATGTCTACCAGTGTTCCCATGGTCCCAGGGCCACCCCCTGGGTATTAGGAATCAAGGTGAGGATTTGAAATCCACAGCTGCTTCCACCAGCCAGCTGTCCATAGGTTTTAAGCATGAACTATGTATGATAGCCACAGGAAGGCCAGGCCCAGTGTAAGCAGGACAGGCTCTCAACCAGCTGGGGAGTCAGGCTTCACCTACAGTGAGTCGTTCAGAGCTGGCCCTGTATGACATCTCCTGGCCCACTTCTCTGTGGGTAGGAATAACGGATGAGCTGATAGTAAAGAAACCTCAGTGTCCAGTGCAGTGGTGCACACCTTTAAACTCAGCACTCTAGAGGCAGAGGCAGGCAGATCTCTCTGAGCTCGAAGCCAGCCTGGTCTACAGAGCTCCAGGGCAGTCAGGGCTACACAGAGAAACCCTGTCTCAAAACAAAACAAAACGGAAAAGAAAAACATTAGCATGAGCGCCAGTTCTCTGGGTTCTGCTTTTCCTGAAATGAAGGAGGCTCCTAAGGACTCCTCAGGCTCAGGAGTGGGACGTTAGGCATGTGTGGGACATTGCAATCGGCTCTGCAGGCCCGCAGAGCCAGAACCTAGGCAGAACCTGGGAGTCCTTCCAGAGTTGACCTGGCTGAGCCTCGGGAGCAGGTACACACACCTACCCTGCCAATGAATCTGGTTAGACCCTTGGCCCTTTGCCAGGTGCCCTTCCAAGATGTCCAAATTGGGGCTGCTGCACCACCACCTTTGGGTCCAGTGCCGGGGGCGGCTGGCACAAGGCAAAAGTGCCAAGGCTATGTCTAAGTTGCAGGCTAGATCCTCATCTCCCCTAGGCCTTCGGAACAGAATTACATAGCACTGTCTCTCACCACTCCCAGGGAGAACGCAGGAGTGCATGGGGATGCCTTCGCCTCTTAACCTGTGCTCAGTGGGGCTGTGTCGAGCCAGGTGGGGTTGGGGGTCTCAAGGACGTGCCGAGGGACCTGACCTAAGTTTAGGCACCCATGGAATGGGAAGTAAGAAGGCGGGGTCCAGGAGCTCACAGAAGGGCAGGATTGTTGGGGTGGTGCAGAGTCCCAGAAGCGTACAGAGGGGCTAGCAGGAGTCCGGAAGCGAGCAGGGGTTGGGACAGGTCACAGGATGCCGGCGACAGCCCGCGCCCACAGGACACTCACAGTATATGAAAGCGAGGGCCTGCAGGAGCACGACTCTGGTCAGCCAGAAGGTGCCAGTGCGCAGCCGGGCTGGAGAGCCCACGGGATCGCGAGCAGGAGTGGGTGGCGACGCCGGACTCTGATCCTCATCTCCGACCTTCCGTTTCCTCAGCGACCCCTCGGGCGCAGCCATTACCAGGCTATCTGGGCGCATGCGCACGGAGGTCCCGCCCCCACTTCTGGAAAGTGACACATGCTCCCCTGGACGACACGCCTACCACTTGCAGCCAACGCCCACGCGCCACGCCCTCTCTGGGCGGTCTCGCCTAGCGGTGGGCGTCTCCGTGGTAGCTCAAGCGTGTGCAGAGCATCAGGCACCAGGGGAAGAAGCGCCTGGAAGGAGCCTGTGGATCCTCACTCTGCAGCAGGGAAGGCCAGGCCTGTGGCAGCGGCAGGGCAGGTCCTTCACCCTGCGCTCCCAGGCTGCCCGCCGCCCAGGAAGGCGCGAAGTATACAGACAGAAACGGGAACAAGCCTGAAAATCAGCCTGGAGCCTCCAGCTTCCTGTCCTACCTAAATCTCCTTTTCTATGGTTCTCAAAGACCCCAGGAGACAAGTGGCGCTCCTCCAAGGATCTGAGAATGGATCTCAAGCGATGTATGTGGCCAGAGGGCCATCAAGGAGTCAGAAGGGGAAGACTTTACCGACCAATGGCCTGAGCAGAATCCCCAGGAGACACACCTGCGACTCTGCTTTTATGTTTTATTTACTAATTTTTTAGGAGCTCATAGTGGCCTTGAACTGTCATTTCAACGACAACAAACAGTCCTCATGACTCTGTTTTCCTCGGTACTGGTATTACAGTACCTGGTAGCAACTCTCCTTTTTCATGTGAGGGGCCACTCAGGCCCTGCACACAAATGATACTGGAGAGGTGCTCTGCGGCAGAGGAGAAAAGGTGTGTGCCAGGCCATGGCACCACCAGCCCGAGGGGGCCTCAGGCAAACTACGGGCCTCTCGGGAACAGCTGGTGTAGCTGCAGGATTTCCTTTATTCATCTTTCAGAGCTCTTTACCTATTAAAGATCGTGTGCCTCTGCGAATTATCTCTACTATTTTTAATACTTTGTCTTTAGTATCTCCTTTTTGCTCCTGCTGTTTTGACATATAAATTACCAATGTTTGCATGGTCCAACAACCTATTAGTGTTGATTCCCTCCATACCCACAGTGAGCCTCTCCTGGGTCAGGACTGGGGTGCAGCTGCTGGGACTCTTCCCAGCCTCCAGTCTCCCTGATTCTGGAGTACTAGCATATAAATACATCTATAAAGTGTTTGGGTTTTTTTTAGTTTCCTTTTATTTTTCTTCAGAAACACTCCCTTGGGAGCCCAGCTGTGAAGTATGCTCCATACAGATGTTGCAATGGATAATACAAATACTTCCCACCTGCCAGGCCTCCCACAGGCCAGCATCTGCCCAAGATCTCAAAACTTGAGAGACTGAAGGAAGAAACCTATGTATCCTGTATCCAGGTCCTTCCATAGGAACCCTTGCCCCTGCCCCTCCTCACTGGCATGTGCCAGGCTTGGGATGGGCCAGCTGAGGCATTTAGGGAAGGCAGCTCAGGCCTGCACAACTTCCCCAGGTAATTTCTGGAAGCCAGCGCTGTGCAGGGGATGGAAGGAGAGGAAGGACAGGTCACACCTGACCCTGGGTGCTGCTGCTCAGGTGGGGACCATCCTCACAAAGGGCTCTTTGTCCTCAGCTTCCCCTTGCAGTGGTAACATTGTCCTCCCTGCAGAAGGGCACAATGGGGCATTGTGCAGAGCATAAAATGGCCCTCTTGTTCCAGCATCCAGCGCTCCAGCTGGGGCTGGGACTCAGCTCTAGGCTTCCTCCCTGGGTTTGCCCACAGTGGGCGAGGCCAGCTGAAGGGTCTGCAGGGAACTAACTCATGTCCTCGGTGGCTCAAGTTTCTTGCCCCTGGCCTGCCTTCTTGGGATGCTGTCTGGAACTGGCTTTCAAGCAGGTCACACAGGGCAGAGTTGAGCCAAGCAGAGGTTAGAGTCTTGCCTATTTCTGACCCAAATTTAATAAGCAGTACACCGGGAAGCTGGGTATGATGGTGCATACCTGTGATCCCAGTACTGACGGTGCTGAGTGAGGCAGGAGGGTTGCAGCCAGTTTGAGCTAGCCTGGGCTGAACAGTGAGACTCTGTTTTAAAAACTGAAACAGCACTGGTGTATTATTCACCCACAATGAGGAATGAAGTTGAACATGCTGCCGTATGGATGGACTCTAAATCCTCGAGTGGAGACACGTCAGACACGTTGTAGGAAACCTGTAGAAGAGGCATTTGCATTATGAAAGATGAAACCGTGGTTTCAAGAGGTGGGGGAGAGAAAGGGACATGGGGGGGACGCCTTCTGGGGTGCTTTGAAATTAGATGGATACATGACATGCTAATGTCCTATGTGCCCCTGAATCCTTTGGTTTATGTGAATTTCAGTTCTCTCTCTCTCTCTCTCTCTCTCTCTCTCTCTCTCTCTCTCTCTCTCTCTTTCTTTCTTTCTCTCTCTCTCGATGCAAGTCTCATTATGTAGCTCAGGCTGGCCTTGAACTTAAAGCCATCCTCCTGCCTTTGTCTCCCCAGAATCAGAATCACAGATGTACATCGCTTCACAGATATATACCTAGCTTCAATGAAATTTTTTTAAAAAAGTAAACAAAAACTATGAATGAGCCCCTTAAGTGGGATGCTTCACGATCACCTAGAAGGCACCGCTCCTACTTGTCAGAGTAAGTTGTGGCTTATACCACACTTTGTGTGTGTGTGTGTGTTGAACATCTGGCAGCTGAGCTCCTAGATCTACACTCAGCTGTGCTCCACATAGAAAGCAAAACCTAGACAGAGCTAGGCAGCTGGAGGCTCATGTACAGGAGAGGGCCCCGGGGGGCCCTGAGATTTGCTCCTGTCCCTTTAGAGGCCACCAGCGTGACGCAGGCTTCTAAACATCACTTTTAGCCAAAAACTACACAAACAGTCAAGCTGGCAGGCCAGAGGGAACTAAGATGAGGAATGGCTACCCTGGGGATTCTGGCAAAGAGCTCCAGAAACAGGGCGGGAAAGTGGGGAGGGGGCCAAGAGGGACTGCCAGCTCAGGCCCCGGCTGGTGTCTCTGGAGGTTCGGGGCTCACCCGCTCCTAGTGGATCCTGTGCCCTAGCTCCCTGAGGCCTCCAGCACAGTGGCTGAGATGGGGATGGGGACGGGGCACACTGCCCGCCGCTAGCTGGCAGCTCTCCCAGCAGCTGTGGGACGGCTTCACAGAGGAATGAGCCCCCTGTCAGCACCTCGTCCAGCTGTCCCCAGGCACCCCAGCCCAGCAGTCCCCACTGTCTCGGGGCCATTGTCCCTGACATGCAGGCGCAGCTGTCTCTGGCTCCCCAAGAACCCAGCTTGGGCTGAATATAATTGTGCACCCTTCATTTACCCCAATTTTTCATGTCTTGAAGTCTGCTTGTGGAAGCGGGGCAGGTTCCACATCTGTTGCCTTCTCCTAGAAGAGTGGTCAGTTGGGCTGGTCCCCCCGCCCCCCCCCGCCCCCCCCCCAGAGACTGTCCACTGGCCAAAACCCGTCAGAGACCAGCAGGTGCGGCAGTGAGCAGGTGTCTTGCCATTTGCTGGCTGGACTGAAGCTGTGACTCACAAGTGGCTGTTCTCTTGGCTGCTGTACCTCTTCTACTGCACCCTCAGCTCCCCCTGAACCCCAGGGAGATGAGGCCTTGAGTGCCAGCAGCAGCTGTGACTTCAAGCTAGCATGGAAGTAAAATGTCTGGGGTAGGGCGCTATGGCAGAACACAGCTCTGAGCTGTGTTCCGAACTGGGAGAATTCTTGGAAAGCCCCAGCCCAGAGGTCAGAACCCAGAGGCCTATGGGCTGGACTCTGCCCACAGAGCTGTATGTACTGCCACTCACTGTATCAGCCACGAATGCTGCCCAACAAACAGCCCAAACCACAGTGTATGCCCTACTGCGACCTAACTGAAACCTCCCTCACCACATTCAGGGCAACAAATGCAAACCAGACAGCCGAAAGCCATTTAGTGGTGTGTTTAATTTGCCCCAGGGCACTGATAGGTATCTGGAACTTTCAATCATGGCAGAAGAGGTTTGGGCTGTAGGGACTACTTTGTTACGTTTTTATTCTAAGTCACCATTTGCTGTACTGTTTATTCCGGAAACAGGGTTCTGCTGAGTAAAGTGGCCACTGTGGACACCATGGATGGGCAGGAAGCCTTGCCGGATCGGAGGAGTGGAGCTTGAGAGGATGAACACTGGAACCAAGTGAGTCCCCGCCAACGTCTGCTCCAGACCCTCATTTCTCATTTCCGGGAAGTTCAGTACTCACAGGATTCTGGCATGGAGTAGGTGATGGGGAAAGGCTAGGTTCAGGGTGATGTGGGGTCCCCAGCATGAGCACCAGGCATGGGGCTGGAGATCCAGCATCTAGTGTCAGAATGAGCCTAAGTCCAGCTTAGCCTATGCTGACACTCTGTCACCAGACTTCACCATCCCAGCAACAGATGCTGACACCTTTGCTGAGGGCGGCATGGGGTTCACTTCCACCCAGGAAAAGCTGCTTGAGCACCCTGGGGACCCTACTGAGGATGGCTTTGACTTCCAAATGCTCTGTGCCAAGGAGGAAGTACCAAGACCCTCTGGATACTGTTGGGAGTCAGCTCCACCCAGGGCCCTGATAGGGTGAAGGAGGGAGTCCAACTTGAAATTCGGGGACCCAGGAGCACCAGAGGCAACGGGACAAAGCAGTAGAAAGCTGTTCCCAACACGTCTCTGGCCTCTGCACACACCTGTCACGTTGCAGAAGATAAGTGTTGGACTCCACTGCCTGGGTTAAAATACAACCCCTTTCCAGAATCCTTTCAAACCGAGACTATCCCAGCAGGGGGTCCCAAGAGCCATCAAACACCAAAGATGCTGCTAGGCTGGAGGGAGCATGCTCACCCCTCCCCGGAGCCAGAGGCAGGCCGGGGACACACAGTGCAAGAGGGCATGACACAGGAGTGGGCAAATGTGGTATGGCAGGAGAACTGCTCCGGTAGGTCTGAGAGATGGACCGTGGGGCAGCAGAGAGGGGTAGGTACCGACATCAGCAGCTCAGAATAGAGATGACCATCCTATTGAGGGACTAGCTCTGACCCCAACTGCAACTTCCACTGCAGCCAGCTCTGACACTGTCCCTGAGACCACTGAACGAAGAGGGGCTGGGAGACTGAGGGCTTGGCCTAGTGCCCTGAGCATGTTACTGGGAGGCCAGCCCTCCGGAAGTGACAAGTAGATCCACTGAGGCCCTCTCCTGCCTCTGGGAACACAGTGGGCAGGGCAACAGTCTACAGGAGCCCTGCAGGAGTTCACCCTTCGCTGCCTGCTCATTTTGTTTCTTCCAGGCCAACGTCAGCAATTAAAAATCTCCATGGCTGGGATGCCCTGCCAGCTGCCCAAAGTACAGCTCTGGATGCAGGGGCAGAGGGAGAAGAACCAGGCCAGGGCTGAGGACACATAGCCCACCTGAGGTTTACAGACCTACTCAATCACCCCCGCTCCCCCAGCTCCAGAGCCAATGGTCCAGGAATGGGCACCTGGACTAAGTTTAGCCAATGAGATCCTCACTCTAGAACTGCAAAACCCACATGATAACGGGGAAGTTCCAGGCCAGGGCAAGGTCATGCAGACTGGGGCAAAACTAGCACCAGTCAAGGAGGAGGGTGGGGGCAGAAGAACAGTGAACAGGAGGAGGAACTGGTCCACACCTGGACAAGGTCCAGTGGCCCACAAGGTAAATGGAGAGGCGGTCCCTATAGTTTCCATGCAAGCGTTAAAGAATTGCAGATTCCTGCATTATCGTTACTGCCTGTGCCATTTGGGGCTGCAGGGCCTTCGCACGGGATGCCACCCACAGGGGCTACTCTTTTCTCCCTTCATAGAAGCCACAAACTTCAGATCTCAGCTGAACCACCACATCCTTGAGATTTCTGGGACCACCCTTCTGAAAGTCTCCTTCCCGACAGGGTGCATCTCAAGAGAGGGCTAGCTGGCCCCTTGTCCCCAACACTAGGATTTCCAGGTCAGGGACTATGAAGCAGGGTCCTGACTATTTGGTCCTAAGGAGGCCATGGCACGAAGCTGTGTTTAATCAGTCCTAGGGAACTCATAAAACCCACCCTGAATAGCTTTCTTCCCAGAAGCCACGGCTTCATGTCTGTTCAGGGTCTGCCTAGTGGCTGATGATGTGAACCAGTCAGCTTGAAAGGAATCTGAAGACCTGGAGGATGTGCTGGCCTTTCAAGAGGACCCAACAATAGCCTGGCATGGGCCTGGAGCAACACCTGTGGGGCCACAGCTTGTACTGGGCTCAATTCTGAACACAGCCTGGAAGAGCTCAGGGCACTATGTGTGTGCCAATGTCCCGGGCAGGGCTGGGTCAGCTCCTGGCAACCCATAGTGGCCTATACCTGCATAACTAACAGGGGCTGGCCACCAGTCCTCTGGGCATCAGGGAGTCACTAGAGCCTCCAGTGATGGGAAGCTCCACCTCCTTTCTTCCTAGGGTCCAAACAGTCTGGGGATCTGAGAAGTGAGTATATTATGGCCCCACCAGTGGGGGCCAGAAAGAAGCTGCACTTCTGGGGTACCCAATAAGAACTCAGTTTTGTGTTTTCTTAGTCAAGTGGAGGCCTGAGGGCATGGGTCCATGGAGGTACGGGTTGGGACCCGAGACCTTAGGGGTCAGGTCTGTCTCCATCCTCAGCTACGCCTCTTAGACTTCTTTTGCTGGTATGGATGGCGCTATGACAGTGCATTAGACAGCGCGCGTGGTGGTGGTGGTGGTGGGGTCTTTATGCCTCCAAGACACTTCTTTTCCCAAGAGGTGGGAGCCTAAGTGGAGGGAACCTCAAGGGAAAGGACAGCCGCTGCAGATGTATAGGGAAGGGACTTTCTTGGCAGGTGACAGTTAAGGTAAGGGTAGAGTTCAGCAGACAATGGCACCCAGCTCTCCACCCACTCAATACACACGCGCGTGCGGCACAACTAGAATAAGGTCGCAACTAAGGTAGCCTCTCTTCCTTAGCGGTCCCCTCAGCAGGTGGCAGGGACTTGGACCTCCTTCTTCCAGGCAGGAGCTATAGATGCCCCAAGGCTACAATTGCACAGCACTGGCCCTTTCCAGGGCTGCAGGGAAAGCCTAAGGTTGGGATCCCAGACCAGGAGATTAGGGCACCACTCATGCCTTGGCTGGAGCTGGGGATGGGAGGCCAGACCTGCGCTAAGCGCAATGGGACACCCAACCCCATAAACTTCCCAATTGGATATTATTATTATTATTTTTTTAGGGAAAAGGAGCCCCTGAGGCGGCACAGCAGGGCCCACGGTTTTTCTCTGCCACTGCATCCACTGGTTTGGGAAACAGGCGGCCTCGTTTACGGTCACCTGGCTCTCGAGAGTCACAGCTTAGGGTGGCAGGTACGACGCCTCCGTTGAGTATGGCGAGAGAATCCCAGTGGCCCTTGGAGACCTCCCGGCCAGGAGCCAACTCGCGGGGGCGACCTCGGGCGCGGCTCGGAGTGGCGGTTTGGCGCTGGCCTCAGGAGAAACGTCCCCTCTCCAACCCTGAGCGCTCTCCTCCTTCTCTCCAGGCGCCGAGGCGAAGTGGCCCGGCGTGGCCTCCGCCTCCGCCAGACCACCCAGGCCCGCCCGCCAGGGCCTCTGCGCCCCCGCCGCAGGTCATACCCGGAAGGACCTGGGCCCCCGCGTCCGGCCGGACCATCCGCCGACCGCCCTAGGGACTCAACAGCCCCGGCCTGCGCAGCCCCGCCCAGCGCCCCCGTCCTCCCACCTTTGTCCGGCCCCGGGGTCCTCCAGCTCACCTAGGTGCATGAGTTACCAGGGTCACCTGGTGGCTCCTGTCATTGCGCCACCCTCAGGGCAGAACCCAGATTTGTTTGAAATAGCGGATTCGAGCCTCACAGTGGAGGGAGGGATGCTGGGCTCAGGAACCCTGTGGATTAGCATCCTCGCCAGCCGCCCGAAAGTCAAGTCACGCTGCAGAGAACCCGGCGCTGGGCAGTCAGTCACCCTTAGCCTCTGACCCTGCCTCAATCGAGGGATCAGGCTGCAGGGCGCCTGGCCCACGTGGTGCGGAGGGCGGGGTGGGGACCACTTCCTAAGATTAGGGGCGGGGCACCCAAGCTCCGCCTCGAGGAGGGCGCGCCTGCCAACCCGGGCCGGGAGGGGCGGGGCTTCGGCCAAGGTTTAAAGAAACTTGTTGCGGGTCCCAGAACTGAGACAGAGCTGCAGCGGCGGGTGAGCGGCAGCTGGGCGCCTGCGGCGGGGACAAAGATTGGGTCCTGCGTGGCAGCCTTGGAGTGTCCGTCCACAGCGTGACCTGGCGCGACCACTGCGTCCATCCCCACTGAGCACCCCTCCGTGCGTGGCCCCGATGCTGGACATGAGTGAGGCCCGCGCCCAGCCGCCCTGCAGCCCGTCCGGCACCGCTAGCTCCATGTCACACGTGGAGGATTCAGATTCCGACGCGCCGCCGTCGCCCGCGGGATCGGAGGGCCTGGGCCGCGCGGGGGGCGGCGGCCGAGGGGACTCTGCTGAGGCAGCAGACGAACGCTTTCCAGCCTGCATCCGTGATGCCGTGTCACAGGTGCTTAAGGGCTATGACTGGAGTCTGGTGCCCATGCCCGTGCGCGGCGGCGGTGGCGGCACGCTCAAGGCCAAGCCACACGTGAAGCGGCCCATGAACGCCTTCATGGTGTGGGCGCAGGCGGCGCGCCGCAAGCTGGCCGACCAGTACCCGCATCTCCATAACGCAGAGCTCAGCAAGACCCTGGGCAAGCTGTGGCGGTGAGTGTGGGGACTCATGACACTCTGGCTGAGGAGGGGAACGTAAGGGGCTGAAGGAGGTGGCGTCGTGCCCAAGCTTGGGTTGTGCTCCTGGGCTGCTTCCAGGGTGGGTCTGATGGAAAAACACCTTGGTCAACAGAGACCAGACACCAGATGTGGGACCTTGGAGATGGACCCAGGCCAGTGCCTGGAGTGTGACCCTCCAGCGCTTTCTCCCCTCCTGGGGTATCCTGCTGAGAACTGCAGAACTGGGGATCCCACCATGGCCTGCGGGCATAGCGGCAGGCATCAAGCTGCTTTGTCCTGGGCAAAAGCTGGGACTCGGGATAGCCAGGAGGAGTCCAAGTCTGCCGGCTGGTACTGTCCCCAGGTACCTCTCCCAGGCCACACCAACCTGGGATGGAGGAAGGGAGGAGTGGGTGGAAAGTGAGAGTCTCACTGGGCACTTTGGCATGAGAAAGGCAGGCACTATTGAAGAAGACAGAAGTTCCTCAGCACAGCACATCCCAAACCTCCCAAGCCGCCTCTGCTTGAGTTTGAAACGGTCCACGTTAGTAACACTGGGCTGAGCAGGACAGCGAGGTGGTCTTGCCCATCTCAGCTTTGCCCGCAGGCAGAGGTGCAAGGCCGAGAGATTCTTGGGGTGTGTGTGTGTGTGTGTGTGTGTGTGTGTGTGTGTGTGTGTGCGCTCAGAGGACAGTCTCCTGGATTTTGCCTTCACCGCTGGAAGCTTGAGACCCAAAGGACAGCAAACCCGGCTGCCTTGAGTCACAGCAGGCTCCCCGGAAGCCTCGCCTTTGTCAAAGTGTGGTTTTCACTGGGTCCTGCCTTCCTCCTGGAGAATGACTGAGCCAGCGGGGTGGGAGAGACAGAGCAAATAGAGTTGGAAAGGGGGAACTCAGGAAAGACGGGGAATCGGGGTCTTGCTTGTTCCTTGGACTATAAAGACATACAGTCCTCACCACACAGGCCTCCCCACTGTCCCACTGGGGCTGGGATTCTCAGCATGAGAGCAGGCTACCCACTGGAGGGTGTCCTGGCCTCTCCAGCACCCTCCCCAGTGCCCCTGCCCTCTGACTCCAGGCCAACTCCCACAGCAGTGCATGGGCCGGTACTGCCTGGGCCCTTGGCAGCCCTGGAGCTCTGTGGACATCCTTGCCCTGCTGTGTTCTCTGCAGCTTGCTGAGTGAAAGTGAGAAGCGTCCCTTCGTGGAGGAGGCTGAGAGGCTCCGTGTCCAACACAAGAAAGACCACCCAGATTACAAATACCAGCCACGACGAAGAAAGAGTGTGAAGGCTGGCCGGAGTGACTCGGACTCTGGCACAGAACTGGGCCACCACCCTGGTGGTCCCATGTACAAAACCGACGCAGTCCTCAGCGACGCACACCACCACAGCGACCACACAGGTAGGCTCCCGGACCCTTAGCATGGGGTGGGCGGTAGTGGAACTGACCTGGAGTGTGGGAAGGCCTTTCCGCCAGGCTTGGCAATCTGCAGAGGGCCAGACCTTCCCTAGCCCCCTGAAAAAGCTTCTCTGGATATAGCTATTTCTGATGCTCAAGAAGAGGAGGGCTGCGTAGCCCCATCTAGCATTCTGGAGATGATGTGTATTCAGTGGGACTCACACACAATCTGCCTCCACTCTTCAATGACAGTAGCATCGGTCAACAGCCCCAGCTTCAGAATCAGGCTGGTGGGTGGGGTCCCAGCAGCTAAGCAGCCTCAGTGAAGCTGGAGGTAGGCCGTGAGCTTCCCTTTACTCGGCTGTGATGGGGGAAGAACGGGGTTGTGTGGGTTCAGCTTGGTCCTCTGCCCAGGACCAGGCATTCCAAGAGTGCCCCATTAATGCTAGTTCTGGTGGGGCCGCCTGGCCACCTTCCACCCCCCACCCAGGTCTTCAGGGAGGGGCCTTGGGTCTTCCCACAGCACAGTGCTTAACGGAATTTTCTCAGCCAGTAAGTGAGGGCTAGGTCTGAGTTTGCAGGAATTTCTGGGAAGGTAAGGAAACAAAAAGCTGTTGATTCGTACCTGTGGCAGTTACCAAGGTTCCTGGTGTCACCCACCATCTCCACCCTGGTCCCACAGAAGGGGCATTCATCCTTGAAATATACTCTCTTCCTCAGGCCAGACCCATGGGCCGCCCACCCCACCCACCACCCCCAAGACAGACCTGCATCAGGCCAGCAGTGGAGGCAAGCAAGAGCTAAGGCTGGAAGGGCGCCGCCTGGTGGACAGCGGGCGCCAGAACATCGACTTCAGCAATGTGGACATCTCCGAGCTCAGCAGCGAGGTTATCAGTAACATGGATACCTTTGATGTCCACGAGTTTGACCAGTACTTGCCCCTCAATGGCCACTCAGCCCTGCCCACAGAGCCCAGCCAGGCCACTGCCTCTGGGTCCTATGGGGGCACCTCCTACTCCCACTCCGGGGCCACTGGCATAGGAGCATCCCCTGTGTGGGCCCACAAGGGAGCTCCCTCGGCCTCAGCCTCGCCCACAGAGGCAGGACCCCTTCGGCCACATATCAAGACAGAGCAGCTGAGCCCCACCCACTACAACGACCAGTCACATGGCTCACCCGGCCGTGCTGACTATGGCTCCTACAGTGCCCAGGCCAGCGTCACCACGGCTGCCTCTGCCACAGCCGCCAGCTCCTTCGCCAGTGCACAGTGTGACTACACTGACCTCCAGGCTTCCAACTACTACAGCCCCTACCCTGGCTACCCGCCCAGCCTCTACCAGTATCCTTACTTCCACTCATCCCGCCGACCCTACGCCTCACCACTGCTCAATGGGCTCTCCATGCCACCTGCACACAGCCCCAGCAGCAACTGGGACCAGCCTGTGTACACCACCCTGACCCGGCCCTGAGGCTGCTGCATCCCGGGGCACTCAGTGCCCACGAAGTCTAGCCAGGTCTTTGAGGTCTTCTGGAAGCGGGACTCGGTAGAGGGTGGAAGCAGCCTGCACAGCCTCGCTCCGTCAAGTGCCTGCTGAATCTGCAGGAAGCCAGCCTTTGTCCCCCTGTGTCCCTTTGCCTCTGGATATCCAAGCTTCTGCCAGGGGACAGAGCTCTCTTTTCCTCCACTTCTCTTTCTCTGAGGTAACTGGTGATTTCTGAAACAGCCATTCTGTCACTCTCCGGTTTGGGTGAGTGGGTACCAGCTCCTGGGTCTTCCATCTCCGTAGAAGAGGAGACAGCTACCACTAAGGACAAAGGAGAGAAGGGGCCTCGGGTCCTTACCAGTCCGGCCAAGAACTCCCTGGGTTCAAGGGATGTTGTTCCCATGGTGAAAGCACATCTGTGGACGCTCGGGATACATCCACTCGGGCATCTCTTGGGACCGATGTGAGATCGAGGGTTTCTCATTACCACAGTTCTTCCCAGCAAGGTTTGGCTGAGACAAACACTTCTCGTGTTTATTTTTATTTTTTGTAATTTTTATTTTTAAGGCTTAAACATGTCTGTTTTGAAAGCTGTTGAAGATGTATTTATGTTCTGTATTATTTTATCTTTAATTAATGAAGTAATTTGTGCAGAGAGTAGAATTTAAGACAGAACGAAAGCGGGGAAGCTTGTTTTGTAAAGGGCAGGAGGGAAGTGGTCCAGCACCCCGTGGCATCTCTTTGCTCGGCCTTCAGATGGCCCGGGAGGCCTCCACCAGGCACAGGAGGAAACGATTTACCTCTTGGGGTCTGGTTGGAATGAAACGCCCAGCACCAGCGTCAGGTCGGGCATTGGAAGACAGGGATGTCATCTCTGCCCTCAGTGGTGCCAAGCGGTAGAAGACAGAATTCCTGCAAGTTGGCAGCTGCAGAACCACGATAATCTTGGCTCTTTGGCACCAGGCGCTGCTTACCAAGCTGTGAAGAAAGAGCCTCCTCCACTAACCTGCCTAGGTTCCTAGTTAGAAAATAACACCTGCTTCACTGCCTCGCTTTGCTGTGTGCTGAGTGGTGTAACCGGCTACTTTACAGAAACTTGTGCCTTTGAGACTTTGTACATGTAATCACATTGGAGAAGTTTGCTTCTTTTTAATTTTTCTACTTTTCCTACCTTTTTTTAGAGGGAAAAAACTGTCTTTTTTTTTTCTTTTAGTGTATCTCCTTCTGGGAGTGGGAGTGGGAACCACAGCAAACTCATTTTTTATGCAATCTATTTTTTTTTTTTTGGCATTGAATTCAGAAAGACATTTGCTGTCCTTCGCCTGCTCTGTTTCGCCACTTTCT